CTAATCGATTGGCTTGTATCTACAACAAAAATAAGTCTCATTTGAATTTTCACTGTGATTTTATCATCAGTACTAAAAAATACTTATGTTTTATAAAACACTACCTGACCAAGAACTTTGTACCATTTGACGTACCTACACTACCTCCCTAGTCTACCCTAAAACATACTCTATCTATGTCCTTTTCCAGGTTATGGTCTACCTATGTGCCAAATTTCGTCCAATTCCATGAAACGAGCAATACAATCAAACCAACATTCATTTTTCTATACATAAGATAAGCATATTTATTATTAGTCTTTATATATAAAAATTGCGTGTCACGTTGTTTGTCCGCGATGAACCCGTAAACTACTGAACTGATTTCAATGAAATTTGCACACTGTGTGCAGTTTGGTCCAACTTGAGAGATAGGATAGTTTTTTATCCTGATTAGTGATACTCAATATTTTTTATGACGAAATTAAGGATTTTTTTATATGAAAGGTCGTCGAAAAGGGCAGAACCACGTCTGTCTGGTCAACTAGTATATTATATAATATTAGTGTTACGTTTTTGAACAGGCTTTTTGTATTTAAACCGAGTATCTTATCATATAACCTTATGATTTCCCGAGAATAAAACAGTATTTTTGTATCACTTGTAACAATCATTAATGTAAATGCTGTCGGTTTCATACGAATAGGTATAATTACACACAACACATTCATATAAAATCGACAGACATAAGGGATAATGTAAAGAACAATCTTTTACTTTATGGAAATTTATATTAGTTAGGTACTCAGTTTAGCAAGAAAAAATTTAAAATTTGAATTTTTGCGCCAAAGCATGTTGAACTATTTTCATGGTCCTGTTTTGCATAACAACTTTTCAAATGGCAGTTGACTGTTTAGTAGAAGAAAGAAACCAACCTTTTTTCACGCAATACTTCACATTTCCATTTTGATTTGTCGACTAATCTCTTGTGTGCTTTACCGGGCACCAATTTTTTAATAAACTGTTGTAAATCCTCAATTTTTTCCGCACATAAACAATTAAAAACCACAGCAATAACACTCGCAGGTAACGAAATTGGCCATACTAATTTACTGTGTCACGTGATCTTATATTGTACTGCCATTGGTTAAATTTGTTATGGAGGAATTTGAAACTCACACACTTTGTTTTAGAGTACTTTGCACCGAACACTGTTACTAAAATGTATTTTACACACACTTATGGCGGAGTTTGATAGGAAATAAATTGACGAATTTGTACTACTCTAAGAGTACTTTCAAATGTCATACTACGCTAAAATTTTAAATTTGTTCGCTAATCTGTTTCGATTTTCACGAAGTTCTCGTCATAAGGAATGATAATGGCACTCAAAAATCCTTGACTATGCCTAATCCACCAGCACAATATCAGGCTTATTCGCGAATATAGTCCTATCCGGATGTTCCGGTCCCAGTAGTCCCCGGTCCCGGAGTCTGGTACGGTCATTTTCGAGCACGGCATCCTCGAGACTGTATTTCAGAACGAGCTCGACAGATGTCGACAGTGCATATCTCCGATATTTGTTGGTCTTAATAACCTGATCCTGTAACGCACAGACAAAAACCTTGGTTTCCGCAAAGAGGTCACCGAAATGAGTCCAGTGTAGGGAGGCAACAGTGTCTATGGAAGGCTCATAAAGAGCCTTGTGGTACCTCCTGTGTAGCTCCTTCTCTTTCTATACGGTCTCCTGGTCGGAAATACTCTGTACTGCCGGATCCTGTTATTGATCTTTGCATAAGGATATGATAGAGGGGTAAGCCCTTAATCACAAGAAATTACGTCCGTATAAAACGGGTCCTCCGATCTCGTCAAGAAGTAATTATGGAGGCTGCACACTTAACGATTATGCATATCTAGTAGGAGCCAATTGGAATATGCGAGTACAATATGGAACCCAACTACGCTGTGCACTCTCAAAGAATAGAAGGTATTCAGAGAACCTTTACAACTCATTTTGCATATATATGTAGTGGAATTTCATATAGGTGATTATACACACGGACATAGGACAGAGGCCACGAACAGCGATTAGCATTTTTTGAAATACCTTCTTCTTATTATTTAAAATAGTAAACAGACAGACTGTCTACTTCGAACTACTACAATATTTCTCCCTAAATTTACCATACAATATCCCTCGTCGTCCAATAACTAAACTGTTATAGACTCCTCAATCCAGGACTAACATGGGGTCACCCCGGTACCGCAAATGTGTGACACTTATAACTCACTTTGTGGTGTATGCCTACTGTCGATATTTTTCACGATAATTTCCCTGAATATAGGAAAAATGTAATATACTCGTATCACTATTATAAATGATTTGTGAATGATTTAATTATAATCTAGTATCCAAGTTCCCTACAGCTGCCAGCCGCTTCGTGTATGCAAGTTTTTATTGTCTTAGTTTTATTGTCTTATCTTTAGGTATTATTTTTTGTGACATATTTCTTTATAAATTATTGTAACTTTGCGCCATCTTAATTCATATAGTATTTTGTAATGTTGTCACATTTAAGGGTACACACATCAGTCCCTAGATTAAGCCTACTTCCAAACAAATGTAATAATGTGTCCACTGCTGGTGTTCTATAAATAAATAATCCCCAGATGATGCATTCTATGAGAGATCATAGTAGTGTAGAATTTTCTATCCTGGGCGTTAAGTTCAGTTTGAATACATCTCAGTATGCCAAAGCTACACACAAGGACAGGCATGATAAAACCGATATATGCTTGTGTCTTGCTTATGCCCGACAAAAATCTGTTAAGTACTTTGGTCGGCGTACATAAAACAAACCTCAAACTGACTGTTTCATACCCACCGCATCGATACACATGTTCTGTGTTATACCCAGGTACCGGTATGTTTCAGCATCGGAATGTGACTTTCTGTTGATGGGCATAGATAAATCTATGACCTCAGAATAAGAGACCCTACCCCTTTCAACATGGACGACCGCAAACATATCCTTTCCCAGGTCCATTATTATGGAATTTATCAATTCCATAAGACGGGAGCGGCTGGAAGCGAATAACTTGAGATCATCCCTATAGAAAAGGTGGGCTACTTTTGTCCCACCTTTTCGAAACTAAAATCCCCTTCCCGATCCCTCCAATAAGGTACTGAGAGAGTAAAGAGAGGCAAAACCAGATAGGACTCAAACATTTGCCCTGGAAGATACCCTTCTTATTCTCATGCGGCTTCCCGCCCCCGTCATCCGGTCGCCGATTTAAGCTCGCCGGTTAAGATTTACTTAACCGCTAAGATTTACTTAGCGGTTAGCCACCGTAGAGTCTATATCACCTGAGGATGCCTCGTGTAGAGGCGAAACACGTGTCGTATTATCGTCAGTGGTGTGTCTTGCCTAGTGTAGTGGTGTTGGGAGTAGCGGTTCTGGGATTAGTGGTGACGGGGTTAGTGCACGCAATTGAGGGAGGGCGGGAGGTGCTTCTTCATACTAGGTAAGACACATCATTTTATTTTATAACGCGGATATTTGCGAAGTAAATTTTTGTAAGAGCTTTTATATAATGGATTTCCGCAAAGTAACGCCTGATTCTATTAATTATAACACAGAATTGTACTCCATTGCCCCCTACACTGCTCAAAGACCCTCTTTAGCCATGTATGAGGTACCGAATCGAATGCTTTTCTATAGTCTATACAGTAGTTTGGGCTGTTCATATGTTTAGTGGCTATATTGAGGGTGCAGATGTCGACATGATGGACATGAAGAAATCCACTTTAAAGCTTTTTTTGTAAATCAAATATTGTCGTACAGTCTTTTACAGATTATGTTGAAATGTGAGAAGAGTTTAATAGATTATGTACTATGTAATAATAATATTTATTAATGTTTGATTTATTTCAGTCTTCATAGCAATCTAAATAGAAAACAGTCTTTTTAATATATTAATATTATTGGTTAATATATTTTTAATAGATATTTTTGTTGTTATTTGATTTAGCCGTTTTTTCGTTAGTATATTATATTTGACTATTACAGTTCCAATTTCCGAAATATGTACATAACATGTTTACAAAATACATAACATGTTTACGAAATATGTACATAATATGTACAAATATGTACATAACGTGTTTCGCCTCTACACGAGGCATCCTCAGGTGATATAGACTCTACGGTGGCTAACCGCTAAGTAAATCTTAGCGGTTAGCCACCGTAGAGTCTATATCACCTGAGAATGCCTCGTGTAGAGGCGAAACACGTGTCGTATTATCGTCAGTGGTGTGTCTTGCCTAGTGTAGTGGTGTTGGGAGTAGCGGTGCTGGGATTAGTGGTGACGGGGTTAGTGCACGCAATTGAGGGAGGGCGGGAGGTGCTTCTTCATACTAGGTAAGACACATCATTTTAATTTATAACGCGGATATTTGCGAAGTAAATTTTTGTAAAAGCTTTTATATAATGGATTTCCGCAAAGTAACGCCTGATTCTATTAATTATAACACAGAATTGTACTCCACTGCCCCCTACACTGCTCAAAGACCCTCTTTAGCCATGTATGAGGTACCGAATCGAATGCTTTTCTATAGTCTATACAGTAGTTTGGGCTGTTCATATGTTTAGTGGCTATATTGAGGGTGCAGATGTCGACATGATGGATATGAAGAAATCCACTTTAAAGCTTTTTTTTAAATCAAATATTGTCGTACAGTCTTTTACAGATTATGTTGAAATGTGAGTAGAGTTTAATAGATTATGTACTATGTAATAATAATATTTATTAATGTTTGATTTATTTCAGTCTTCATAGCAATCTAAATAAAAAAAGGGTTTTTAATATATTAATATTATTGTTTAATCTAATTTGAATAGATATTTTTATTGTTATTTGATTTAGCCGTTTTTTCGTTAGTATATTATATTTGACTATTACAGTTCCAATTTCCGAAATATGTACATAACATTGATTGAGTATTATGAATTTTGTTTTAGAAACATCTATGGGTACCTCAATGAACGAAGACAAACAATCTGTGTCAGATAAATATTTTCATGCTATTCACACGATCAGTCAATTATTAATGCAACGATTAGTAAGAGTTTATTTATACATCGATGCTATATTTGCTTGCTCTAAAATTGGGAAAATTCAAAAAAAGGTAGTTAAAGATCTACATGAATTTACAATGAAAATAATACAGGAGAGAAAAAGATATTTGACAAACAATAATGATATAACAAATGCAGATGGAGATGATGAAGTAAACGGTAAAAAAGGTAGATTTTCAATGCTAGATTTACTTCTGGAAAATGAAAAACAAGGAATTATAGATGTTGAAGGCATTAGGGATGAAGTTGATACCTTTATGTTTGCGGTAAGTACATACGGAAGTCAATGAGTTGTTATAAATATATAATAAACATTTAATATCTATATTATATCAATATATATTTATATTCAAATGTATAACATATTTTCATTAATTTAAATAATATGCATTAATTTATTTTAAGGGACATGATACAGTGGCAATGGCGCTATCTTTCATGATAATGCGAATTGCTAACGAGTCTGAAATTCAGGTAAGAGAATAATCCAAGTTTACATGCGTTACCGATTACGTTGCTTGGATGTTTGGTAAAGCCATTTATTATTTTGTATGTAACACGAATTATTTATTTTGTGATTAAAACTGTATTCAACCCGTGCCCCAGCTTTAGCCATTTGCATGATTTAATTCTCTTCTCACTGGCTTTATTTATTCTTACGGTTATGATCATTTTCGGACTAGTAATCCCTTAAGAAAACTTTACCTCTTACTATTATGTGTTTGAACACTACGAAAAGTCAATATCATTACTAGCATTTTATCTTAAATTTCAGAGGCCGCAACGCATTTGTAGATTCTTTGTTTAAAGTTGACTGGAAGTCCATGTATATATGTAGTAGTCACTTATCCTAATTTGGGCAAGCTGATCTCTCCCTCTAATATAAATGTAGTTTACAAAGCAATTAGCGAATACATGCTGCTGATAACACTATATCAAAATGTAAACAAAAAGATACCACAGACTGTATGGTACGATACACATTTTAATGACTAGAATGGACTAGACTAGACTAGAATAGAATAGCACAGAATAGAATAGAATAGCATAGAATAGAATGTAATGCATTGGAGTGGAGTGGAGTGGAGTGGACTGGACTGAAGTGGAGTGAAATGGAATGGAACGGAATGGGATGGAATAAATTCTTCTTAATTCAATGTAGATTACGACAATACGTATTGACAGTTATATATTTACTTTTACTATTAGTTCGGGAAAAACCTCTGTCTTAAGAATAACCAACAAGAAACGAAGAGTGACTTTTCCTTTAGATAAAATCCATTTAGAATATATTAATGTATACAATTGATATGACGACATAAGAAAGAGCATGGTAGAGATCACCTCATTCCCAGAGGTCATTATCAATCGTATACTCGTTAGTAGTAGGTATACAAAATTTAACCAATACTTAATTGTAAAAATTAGAAAAATTTTTGATAGATAAGGCCTGCAAATTTTCTGAGAAGTTTCTGTAAAAGTGTTTACATTTCCACATGAATTAATTAACGACTCTTTGGAGTAGAGTAACTATAACTAACTTGTGCTTGTTCATAGTATTTACAGAATGTACATCACTATTTTTAATAAAACCATTTTTGTTTTGTACATAAATTACTACTAAGTGGCATATATGAAAATAACATATATGAAACCATATATTATATGAAAATATAATGCGTATATTGAATTTACAGAATTTTATATATGAAGAAATGCTGAGTATATTTGGTGAATCTCAGAGACGTCCAAATTTAGAGGATCTCAGCAAAATGAAATATTTAGAATGCTGCATCAAAGAATCCCTAAGACTTTACCCCAGTGCTCCAATCATATCTAGACATATTACAGAGGAAGTTGAGCTAAGTATGTATATGTTGTTTTTAAGTTTCTAACACAACTTATCATTGGCCTATTTTCAGTCTGATCACTTTAGCGCTTTATCGGGCACAACTTGGCTTCCACACACTAGAAATGTTTCCTGCATCGTGAAATATTACGTGGTAGAGCTATGCTGCAGCTATATTATGGTTATAACACAAATAGGTCAGCTCGACCAGGTAAGAACCAGGCTCTCACTAGCTACCAGTTCGACGCTGCTGTTTCGTATGATGAATGTAGAGAACCGGAGACTCTTATTAATAGAAACATGGCATTACATCTTAGTGCTCACGTGTGTAAATGCATTTGCGTTTTGTTTCTTAATCGAGGATAGATGTAGGTGTCTATAGGCCACAGCATCTACTTTTTATATGATAAAGTGAAAAACGAGTACGCAGTCCACCTGATGGTAAGTGTTTGCTGTGGCCCATAGACATCTACATATATCCTCGTTTGCGAATCAAAATGCAGATGCGTTGTCACCCGTGAAGACTAAGATGGAATGCCTCTTTTCCAGTAAAAAGGGTCTCCGGTTCTCTACACTCACAATACGAAACACTGCAGTGTTAAACTGCTATTTCACGCTGGTATTCTGTGAGAGCGTGGTCCTTCCCCGGTCGAGCCGACCCATTCGTGCTACAACTATACTACTAATATAGCTGCAGCATTGCTTTATCGCGTATAAACTACTTATCATTAGGTGGACTGTCTGCTTGTTTGTCACCATTATTCTATTAAAAAAAATCACCACCCTTATTATTATAATAGCAGAAGCCTTATTACAACAGAAAAAACCCTCACCGGCAATAAACTATTTTAGTCTAATAAAGAAGAAAACTATGTTTAATTCATTGACTATAATATGAGCATTCCTAAAGTATTTCACGATCATCATTAGCCTGTAATAGGTACTTCAAACAACAACCTCACGCCCTGAATCATACTGATATATCCATTATAAATAAATAGTTTTTTATCCTATATTTTGTGTGTATAGTGCATTTACAGAGGAATACAAAATCTAATGAGTTATAAATTTAAAATAAAATGTTCTACTTCCATGTAATGATATGATGTGTATGATGGCTTACTTAAAATAAATTATTGCCTTATTAGACATTAGACTGTTTACCGGATCTTTAGCGAAGAAAAAATGAAAAGTCTAATTTCTAGAGTTAGAAATTGCAGATCTAGTAACTGTACATTCCGGCTCTACCTAATCGTTCTAATTATGATGTTTATCATTGTCAGTCTGCGGCCATTTTAAATAGTTATTCTTTCGTTCGAAAAAGAGAAATAGATTTTTTGTATCTCTAACGAATGAAGCAACAGTATTCTAAAGACTGGGTGCGGACTGCGAACTCAAAATGGTCGTGGGTTCGAATTCGCCATTCGACTGCTGTCGTAAACCACTCCTACCACAAACATTTTAGGCTTATCAAGAGCGATTAAAAGGAATATTAGCAATGTTAATAGCATTGCTAGTATTTTATGTGGCTATGTTTTGAGTGCAGTTAAACAGACGTTGAGGCTATGTGAAGTTAAACTGACAAATTTTATGAAATACTAGCTGTTTCCCGCAATTTTGCCTGCGCGTAATTTATTACGATTGGATTTCATGGGTTTTAATTTTTTGCGCGGAACCCTTATTCTTTTTCTAAAATAAAAGTAGCCTAAGTTACTTCTTATAATATCAGCTATCTGCCAATGAAAGTCCGGTCAAAATCGGTCCACAGTTTCGGAGATTAGCCGGAACAAACAGACAGACAGACAGACACACAGAAAGACTGATAGACAAAAATTTTTAAAATCGTGTTTTTGTTTTAAGTACCGTATATACTTTATATGCATATAGTAAACAGCTGTTATTTCGACATTACAAAGAGACACTTCAATTTTATTTATTTGTATAGATTATGTTTTTCTCTTTATATTTAACCATTGTTTATTCCCTTTTCCAAGTAAAAAAAAAGCAACAATACCAAAAACACTACTACCTATATAAACTAAGAAATATTATGTCATTAATTTTTATTATTTCACATCTTTAACTTTCCTTACATTGATGCTTAATTAAATGAATACTTAATGTTTCATGATTGCTTCAGGTGGATACAAAATCCCTTCAGATACCTTATGTAACATCCATGTATATGACATCCATCACAATGAAAAGCTGTATCCCAATCCTGAAAAGTTTATTCCCGAGCGATTTCTTTCTGAAAACAATACGTTGAGGCACCCTTATGCATATCTTCCCTTCAGTGCAGGACCAAGAAATTGTATAGGTAAGGACTGTTATGTGGTTAAATTCAGTAAGTGATGCCATAGACGGTTGTTGCATAATTTCAGAAAGGTCTTTCGACTTCCGAAATTTAACCATCACTATTTTTCTTTATTAAAAATACAATAGAATGTGGTCCCAACATAAAATTGAGAACAGGTCAAATAAAAATAAATTTTATTATATGTATTTTCGTTTAATTTTTGCACAGCCTTCACAAATCACCTAAAATTGGTGTGAAAGGCGAAATGAAATATCAGTTTGACAATGGTAATGTATTTTGTGCACGTTACGAAATATTATAAATTCGTGTGTGCGCATTATAGGTAGTCTTCTGTTTACTGACACAACAAAGTAAAATGTAATATATCATCATAAACATCATTACTTTCAATCTATCAAGTTCACTGCTGCACATAGGCTTCGACATAGATTGTCTCGTATGGTGGATATTTGCCAGAGTTGGCACGCTTTTCATTTTCTAGTTGTTATTAGGAAAACGCTGATGCCCATCTTCTGGTTTCCTTTCGAAAATGTAATAAGTAAATATAATTAAAGTAAAAGTACTGCCCTTTTTACAGAAAATATTTATTTGGTTTCTATTTTGTTCGTTGGAATACGAATTATCAGGACCCAGGTTCGCTGACAACTCAAAAATCTAGATAAGAAAACATTACATTATACAATAATTGCTCTCTTAGATTATTAAGATAACATTCTTACTTCCAGGTCATAAGTTTGCTATGATGGAAATGAAGATAATTATGTCAAGTTTACTAAGAAGATTTCGTCTGGAGCCAGTAACAAAACCCGACGACATCACCTTTACATGCGAGCTCGTTCTACGAGCTACTCATGCTTTATTTGTCCGATTTTTGGAAAGAAAATAAAAACCGATAAAAATGCACTATCAAAAATAGTGAAAAGCTAATAATTTCAATAAAGACATATTAAGTAATTTAAAGCAGTATTCTAATTTTTATGTAGTTCTTTATACTCGGTTTATCTATATACACGGCAGTGTGTCACCAAATTCAGAAAATAAAAGATTATACATATGTTTTAACATTAAAATCAAAAATTAAAAGACTCATAGAATCCTGAATTTCATTAATAAACTTATTGTAGTTCTTGGGTTGTTAAAATCTGTGCCAAAAGTGCCATTTTTTACACTCACTGGTTCATTCACTGACACTCTGAATAACTCTTCTAAAACCTAGGCTACTTCTAGGTGACTTATATATATTTGTATTTAAGATAGATCATTAGTCGTATACAAAGGATAAATATGTAAATAACGAATTATCAATGTTGCAGCCTACTAGCTTAACATGTTCAGTGCGAAATAGGGCCTGAAACACCTTGTCCATGTCTCTCCTATGGTGCGGCAACGAAAAACATAAACTTCTCTGTAGTGCTTATAAGACAAATTCTCACTTGAAAAGTGGGTACTACTTATCCTTTTTTTAAATAAATACAATAAAAATAAAGTTTACCGATATTTTTATTTCCCATCACTAAACTATATGAAAAATTGCCCTTATTAAGTGCGGTACGGGGCGTATAAGATCCCACATTTTATTTCACCTACAGATTCTATACAAATTAAACCAACCACGGGCGGTGGCAAATTTAGATGTTTCAATTTATTGTTAACAAATAATAATGATGATTGATTTTTTTTATTTCACGCCGAAAACACGATATTAGTCACTTAAGGGCGGCGGGGTTTAACAAGCCCAGTGCCGCCATGTTAGTTTCAAAACATTCCGGAGCGCAGTAATAGAAAGTATAGATAAATCAGTGCCGCTGTTAACGTGTTAATTTTTACTAAACGGTTCAATTAGCGGCCTGAATGATGTTCGATGTATAGGGTAACCATACGATGTAAATCGCTGGTATAGCTGTATATAATTCAGGCAGCTAGTTGTACGGAGCCGTTTAGTTAAAAGACTAAGTTGTTAAGCTACGCAAATAACCTTGAGGCTATATAAGTTAGTAGGTGTCGAAAAACTGATATAAGTATTCAAAGTCCGAGGTTGTTGGCTTCTCCAATAAAATGTTTGAAAAATGAACGGTACCAAGCCCCATAACAGTTCTTTAAACCATACCTACAAGAATGTCTAAGGTTCTTTTACGGTCATCCGTAATTTTTACGAATTTTCCGAACCGATACGACTTAGGAACCTTCAAGAAAAGAGCTTACACCTTTCTAAAAGGCCGGCAACGCATCTGCAATTCCCCTGGTGTTGCGGTTGTTCATGGGCGGCGGTAGTCACTTACTATCAGGTGAGCCGCAAGCTCGTTTGCCCCCTATTCTATAAAAAAAAAATCCATTGTATCGAACATGGCCCATTTTTTATATTAATATTTTATTAAATTTTTGGTTTACGCCACGGTGACTACTTCTTCTTTCTCTTTCTTTTACTTCTTCTTCATAAACCCTTAAAACCACTGCTAAACGTGAGCCTCCTCCATTATAGGGACGATATGTCATAGTCTCTTTGTTTGGCAGGCGATTTCAGATGAAATTGTTAATATAATGTCATCGGTTTTCATCGTTAACGCAATTTCTAAATGACGAAGCTATTAACAGCGCAAGAAATATCAAATTGCCACAAGTATCACTCATCATATACGCGTCTGATGAACTCTTACTAGGTACACTATACCTCGGTCACAACGCAACTAAAGCCTTCTTTATTTGAAGGTAGCTACAGGTAACCAAGAGCTGCAGTAACTACTTACCCTCAAATAAACTATAAGTTCTCTTCTCATTTCAACTTTATAATAAAAAATCGTCACGATAGGCAGGCAGATTGACGCATAATTTATAATATTATTAATATTATAATTCATAATTTATAAGTCTTTTTGCACCATCGGCGCTGCTTCCCGTCGAGGGCATTTTACGCCTGTGACGAGAATGGAGATGGAGAAACGAGATGTTTATACCGTCATTTTTTCTTTTCCCATAGTCACCTCCTACGATACCAACAGGACGAAATTGTGTGATGGATACTATAACTTCACCACCATGCGGGTTATTATTTATATTATATATATGTATATATATATATATATATATATATATATATATATATATATATATATATATATATATATAATAATGTAATCGATTTCTTAATAAGACTTAAAAAAATTCATTATGTTCATACACACATCCATTTATACAAGTCATGCTCGTAATAAAAACCAAGAATACTTTTTCATATTTAATCAAATATTTTATACGTACCAGAGTTATGCTGCGAATTTATTTTAGTTGTAGCACGAACAGGTTGGCTTGTCTGGGGAAGGACCGTAATCTCACAGAATACCAGCGTAAAATAGCAGCTTGATTCTGATGTGTTCAGTACATTAAGTGTAGAGGACCGGAGATCCTTTATTTTGTAAACGAGGCATTCCATCTTAGTCCTCAGGGCTAACAACGCGTCTGTATTTTGATTCTTAATCGAGAAGTCGAGTGGGCCTGACGGAATCCCCCCAATTGTGCTGAGGACGTGTGCTCCGGAGTTGGCACCGGTCCTAACGCGTCTTTTCCGGTACTCCTACTCCCAAAGCGTAGTCCCGAATTCATGGAAGACAGCTTTTGTCCACCCGATCCCTAAAAAAGGCGACCGCTCAGACCCATCCAACTATAGGCCTATCGCGATCACCTGCTTGTTCTCCAAAATAATGGAATCCATTATTAACTGCCAGCTCATCCGGTACCTTGAGGATCACCAGCTGATTAGTGACCGCCAATACGGTTTTCGTCGGGGTCGATCAGCTGGTGATCTTCTGGTCTACCTGACCCATAGATGGGCGGAGGCAGTAGAGACCAAGGGGGAGGCGTTGGCCGTTAGTCTGGACATTGCGAAGGCCTTCGATCGGGTTTGGCACAAAGCGCTTCTTTCGAAGCTCCCTTCCTATGGGCTTCCCGAGAAATTGTGCAATTGGATCACCAACTTCCTTGCAGATCGGAGCATCAAGGTCGTTGTAGACGGTGCATGCTTTGACTACAAGCCTATTAACGCTGGTGTTCCACAAGGCTGTGTGCTATCAACAACGCTGTTTCTTCTGCATATCAATGATATGTTGCTAACTGGTAACATTCATTGCTATGCGGATGACAGCACTGGTGATGCTCTATACACCGGCCGTGCCAATATTTCTCGGGAAAACGTCGCTGAGTACCGGAATAAACTTGTGTATGAAGTCGAGTCTTTGCTGAACAAAGTCTCGGATTGGGGGCGACTAAATCTAGTCCAATTTAATCCTCAGAAGACACAAATTTGCGCGTTTACCGCTAAAAAGAACCCCTTTGTCGTATCTCCTCAGTTTCAAGGCACTCCCCTTCTTGCCTCAGCCAGTATCGGTATCCTCGGAGTCGACATATCGAGTGACGTGCAGTTTCGTGGTCACTTGGAAGGGAAGGCCAAATTGGCCTCTAAAAAGCTTGGCGTGCTCAGCAGAGCGGGACAGTATTTCATGCCGGCACTCCGCCTGCTACTTTAAAAGGCGCAAGTTCGGCCTCACATGGAATACTGTTCCCATCTCTGGGCAGGGGCTCCCCAGTGCCAGCTCCTTCCACTTGACCGCATCCAACGCAGAGCGGCTCGAATTGTCGACGACCGAGCCCTTTCCGATCGGCTCGATTCATTGGCACTGCGAAGAGATGTTGCATCCCTTTGCATTTTCTTTCGCATCTACCATGGGGACTGCTCTGAGGAATTGTTCGGAATAATCCCAGCCGCCAAATTTCACGAACGCACATCGCGGTAGAACTCCCGATACCATCCACACCATCTGGATGATTGGCGGTCCACCACTGTGCGATTTAGAAGATGTTTTCTTCCTCGCACGACCTCCTTGTGGAATCGATTACCATCAGCGATTTTTCCGGACCGATACGACTTAGGGACCTTCAAGAAAAGAGCGTACTCCTTCTTAAAAGGCCGGCAACGCATCTGCGATTCCCCTGGTGTTGCAGTTGTTCATGGGCGGCGGTAGTCACTTACCATCAGGTGAGCCGCATGCTCGTTTGCCCCCTCTCCTATAAAAAAAAAAAAAATACCATCAGCTATCTGTTAACTCTAAAATTATCGAAAGCTATAAACTGTGCTACAAGAGTACACTTAAGCTAATACCCGATGTAAAACTTATGTGATCAGTTTGGAAGGAGACTAAAAAGGGAAACACAGACACAATTACAGCGCAGGCGTAAAATTAGAACAAATAAAGATCACTTCCCCCATTTTCCACTTTCTTTAATCATGTAAATAGATATTTTACTCAGGTCGCGTAAACCATAAATGTGGGATGTGGGTTGTGTTACGTGTTTAGTGATTTGTACTTAGCTGCAACTGGGTTTCGAACCTGACATACGAGTACACCATCTATAAAACATGAAAATACTTATTTTAATATTATATATCAAAAACATTAAGAAAATAATCTGTTTTACGAAGTTACTTACAAATTACAAAACCATAACACTGTTACCTTAAGAGATTCCCGAAATTTAATAGACATCAAACTGAACGGTATAAAATTGAGGATGACACTGAACCAATTATGAAAAAGCATGATTCTCTGGACAATACTCCACCACCGAAAGATGTTTTTCTTTAATTATATTAAACATTTTATGAAACAAATACCAGACCAAGAAACTCGTGGAAATAATATTTCTTTTAATTTATTGAATCTTTACACTCCACCAGTCCGTAAAAGTCTATTGCCGAACATTGACGTCTCTTATTAGGGAATTAGGGAAGATTTATCATAATAGTGACGCTTAGTATACAGATTGACAATCTCAGTAACGGACACTTGGCATTATTGAGGCTGCTTCCTCCTACGGTCTGTTTATTTTACGAGTGGC